GGGGGGGGGGTTAGAACATGAATTTAATAACTTTTGTTCAAATTCTTTATTTGTATTAAGAAATTCACTAAATATTTATAACTATTTGACGGTAAATTCATTTATTAAGTATATTACCTTGGGATTACAATATATTCTTTAAATTCTGAATCCCGTTTTAATAACATGTACAATAAGGTTAGCTTTTGTATTTACGACTCAAAAAGAAAAGAAAGAGGTACTGTTTGGCCCAAAATTGAGGTACTGTAAACGAGTCAGCGTCACAAAATTGAAGCCAAATTTCAATTGAAAGTTGTCACTTCTAAGTTCTAGAAAAGAGAGGAAATAGCGCTTATTAGGTTTGGTGGTTCACATATCCATATGCAAGTAACAGTAATTTGGCATATCACGGAGTCTGTGGCTGCGGTTCAATTACTTCACTGTTGTCTTACGCCGACATTAGGGTAGTGTACATGGATCCGGAAGTTCGGTTTTTATCAAGAGATTTTTATATTCATATACGCTAATATGAAACTATATTACCTTCTCTATTCAAGTTTTACTATAATTACATTTTATATATCCAATTATCATTTATGTACATTTTAAGGAAATTAACGATAATAATTAGTGTACATTTTAAGGAAATTAATGATAATAATTATCATTTAATTAGTATCTTTCACTCCCCCACGTTTCTCTCTCCACATCCCACCCCCTCTCCCACGTAGCTTTGAATTCGAATTTGGATTTTTAAAAATTATTTGTTTGAATTGGATGTTGTTGCAAAGAATTGGGAATTCTCTCTACGTCTCTCTCAATCCCTAATTTCAGTAATGTAAAGCAAAAAAAAAAAAAGAGAACATCAATTCCACCATTGACAACCATTAAAAAGCTTTGAATTCGAATTTGGGTTTTCAAAAATCATTATTTGTTTGTATTGAGTGTTGTTGCAAACAATTGGTTGAGAATATGGTTTGGAGTTTATATCTCAATTTTGAGGAGTTTTGGTGAAGATTAGACTTGGGGTGTGTTTGTTATGAAGAAAAATATTTTCCATGGAAAATATTTTCCTAGAAAATGTTTTCATGGAAAATGAGTGGTTTTATCACTTATTTTCCCTTGTTTGGTTGGTGAATGGAAAATATTTTCTAATGTTTGGTTAGTGTGAGCACGTGATTTTTGTTTCGCACGACAATCGCTCCAAAAGAAATAAAAAAATAATAA